GATATTCGCAAGAATTTGGTGTCGGGGTCATTGTTGATCAAACACGGCTTCCGAATGGTGTTTGAATCAGACAAGCTAATTTTGTCCAAGAAAGGGATTTTTATTGGGAAAGGTTATATTTCCGATGGGCTTGTAAAGCTTAATGTAATGACTGTTCATGAAAAGATCAATAAAAATCCTGTTGCTTATGTGTGTGAGTCTTCTAGTTTATGGCATGGTAGACTATGACATGTTAATTATGCATCTATTCGAAAATTAATTAACATGGAACACATACCTAAGTTTCGTATTGACCTAGCCCACAAGTGCGAAACTTGTGTTGAGGCTAAGTCAACTCGAAGTTCGTTTCAAACAATCGAACGAAATACTTAACCTCTAGAGTTGGTTCACACCGACTTGTGTGATTTTCGAACAACGCCTTCAAGAGGAGGTAATAAGGACTTTATTACCTTCGTCGATGATAGCACGAAATATTGCTATATCTATTTACTAAAAAGTAAAGATGAAGCGTTAGACACTTTCGTTCGTTATAAGAATGAAGTGGAAAATCAACTTAATCGCAAAATCAAAGCATTGAGAAGTGATAGAGGTGATGAGTATGATGCTCCACTTAATGAGTTTTATGCACAACACGGAATAGTGCATCAAGTAACCCCACCGTATACACCACAGACTAACGGTGTAGCGGAGCGAAAAAATTGCACTCTGAAAGACATGATGAATGCGATGCTACTTAGTTCTGGGTTACCCCAGAACATGTGGGGGGAGGCTGTTTTATCAAGTAATTATTTACTAAATAAAATACCTCGTAAGAAACTTGACAAAACTCCATATGAACTTTGGCATAATAGGAAACCTTCATATAAGTATCTCAAAGTGTGGGGGTGCCTCGCGAAAGTACTTGCACCACCACCAAAGAAGATGAAGATCGGTCCAAATATAGTTGATGGAATCTTCATCGGGTACAATAGTACGTCGTACCGGTTCTTGGTGTACAAATCAGATAATCCTGAAATTCACAAGAACACAATCATTGAGTCACGGAATGCAACGTTTTTCGAGCATATTTTCCTGTGCAAGTCAAGTGACGAAGCCAGTTCGTCCAAACGCTCTCATACTGAGATGATGGATAATGATGATCCAAATCAGTTGAATTCCGATGACGATGATGAAGTCGAACATGAGACTGAACTGAGATGAAGTAAAAGAATGCGAACTGAAAAGACGTTCGGTTCTGACTTCATAACATATCTGATAGAATTTGACAAAGGAACTTTGTCATTTCTAATGGAAAATGAACCCGATATTCTAACATGTTTGGTAGAAAAGGAACCACGAACCTATCACGAGGCCGTAACCTCAACTGAGGGACCTCAGTGGCGAGAAGCGATAAAAAGTGAAGTTGATTCTATTCTTCAGAATCACACGTGGGAATTGGTTGATTTCCCTCCGGGGTGTAAACTATTAGGTTCCAAATGGGTCTTTCAGAGGAAAATGAAGTCTGACGGCTCCATTGACAAGTACAAAGCTAGACTTGTGATCAAGGGGTATAGCCAACGGGAGGGCTACGACTACTTTGATACTTACGCGCCTGTGACTAGGATAGATTCTATGAGAATGATCATCGCATTTGCATCCTTACGAAACCTGGATGTTTACCAAATGGATGTAAAGACTGCTTTTCTAAATGGCGAACTAGATGAAGAAATCTATATGGAACAACCCGAGGGGTTTAAGGTTCTGGGCCAAGAAAAGAAGGTCTGCAAACTTGTGAAATCATTATACGGTCTTAAACAAGCGCCAAAAGTATGGCATGATAAGTTTGACGAGGTAATGATGAGCAACGGTTTTAAGATAAATGAGTTGGATAAGTGCGTATACTTTAAGGACACATCTGAAGGGTATGTCATTTTATGTCTGTACGTAGACGACATACTTATCGTTGGAAGCAACGATAGGATGGTCAAGTCCACCAAGGACATGTTGAACGCACGATTCGATATGAAAGATTTGGGTCTGGCTGATGTGATTCTTGGAATCAAAATACTAAGAAGACCGGATGGTCTGAGCTTGAGCCAATCCCACTACATTGACAAGATCCTTGAGAAATTCAACAAGGATGATACAAAGATAGCTAAGACGCTGATAGACGTAAATGTTCACCTTGGTAAACACCGAGGGAGTAGCGATTCTCAGACAGAATACGCTAGAGTCATCGGAAGTCTGATGTATCTAATGAGTTATACACGGCCAGATTTAGCTTGCGCCATTAGCAAACTAAGTAGGTATACTAGCAATCCGAGTGCTGAGCACTGGAAGGCCATAGTCGGAGTAATGAGATACCTTCGTTATACTTGAGACTATAGCCTATGCTATGGCAGGTATCCACCCGTGTTGGAAGGATACACTGATGCCAATTGGATTCAAAATCCAGAAGCGGATTTATCTTTATGCTAGCCGGTGCAGCTGTTTCCTGGAAATCCTCAAAACAAATGTTAATTGCCAAATCCACTGTAACACCCTAATCCGTCCAGGTCTGTAGCCCCTTTCGGACTAAAGTATTGATTTGGTAATCGTGATAATTTAAAACAATTCAAACATTTTTATTTATAAATAATATTCCATACATAATTGTAGAAAATGCGGAGTGTTTAATAATAATGCGGAAGCGACTTTTAAACATGTCTCATAACAACATAATTATTTATTTTTGTTCAATGATCCACCACAACTGTCTCGCCCCTTCTGCTGCCAGGAATTAGCCAATCATTCATTCTACCTACCTGCGTGTAGCAAATAAAACACACTGCACGCTCAGCGGTGAAGCTGAGTAAGCATATCTAAAGCGTCGAACATCCAAATAAATTGAATCTCAATTCATAATCAACCATTTGATATCATGCACACAATATATAATTCAAACATTCATGATATTCTCAATATTTTATTTTAAGTCATATGATATTCAATATCTCAACCATGCTCTTAAATTATTCTTAATCTAAGGCCAAATCATTTTATAATAAGCTCTTAGCTATTCCTAGTCTAAGGCAACATTTCTAACCAGGCCCTTAAACTATAAATAGTTTAATGCAGAACACAAGAATCGATAATCCACCCTATGAGTCATGTGGATTACGTACCAACCGAACAGTGAACTGTCGGGTGGGTGATATCCGGTCTGGATCCCGTACGTACGTTTTAACCCTGAAATATGAATTGGTCAAGGAGGTATATCTTAGAGTTCTTCTAGATATCCTTAATATTCATCATCATTATACAAGTGGGTATATCTTAGAGTTCTTCTAGATATCCTTAATAATATACATCAATTTCATAATCATCATTATATACATTTTTAATCATGAGTTAATCATACCAATCAGTAGGTTAATCATTCATAATTGGCCACAATAATAGTTCATCATAATAATCATTTAACATAACATTTAATAACAATTAGCGGCCTAGTCTCGAGTGTTAACACACGAACTTACCGTCATGCATCACATAATGTTTTAATTTGTTAAAAACATAATTTTTGTTATGAAAAATCTTTTTTATAATAATCATAATCAATTGGTATCAAAAATAGGATTTTAAAGCTCAAAAATAGCAATTTCAGACAAAATTTCAGATCAGAGTTTCGGAAGATCGATCCAGCCCTCTGGATCGATCCAACTAGAAGAAAAACTCCCAGAGGATCGATCCAATGAAGGGGATCGATCCACTATGTGGATTTTCAGCCACTGTTCATTCATCTTCAACCTCGGTTCATTTTTCGGGAAAACCATTTTTAGTCACCGAACTTCAATTAAACTATATAGAGATGTTCTCCAAGGTTCATAGATCATATTAGAATTATTAAAACATATTTTTAACATCAAATTCAAGGTTTATGATTCTTGGTTCTTCAAACATGTCAAACACAAAACTCAACCAAATGACCATTTATGAACGTAGAAACGACCTATATGAACATTCTAGTCATTAGATATATCTAGGGGCTTACNCATTTTTCGGGAAAACCATTTTTAGTCACCGAACTTCAATTAAACTATATAGAGATGTTCTCCAAGGTTCATAGATCATATTAGAATTATTAAAACATATTTTTAACATCAAATTCAAGGTTTATGATTCTTGGTTCTTCAAACATGTCAAACACAAAACTCAACCAAATGACCATTTATGAACGTAGAAACGACCTATATGAACATTCTAGTCATTAGATATATCTAGGGGCTTACTTTGAAGCGTAGGGGAGGTTTTGAAGATTTTCCGGCGAACCTTCCGGCGACTTTATCTCACTGCTCCGGCGACCTCACACAAAGATGACAGCACCACTGCACTCTACTCTCAACAAGGAATAATATAGAAGGAAGAATGAATTGTTTTGGTGATGAAATGAGGGAGTTGGGTTGTCCTTAAATAGCCCAGGGAA